TTAAAAGAGCAGCCCTCAACTGTACACACCTCCTCCCCAGAAGTTTTACCTCTGCACTTTGGAGACAAGTGGGAGCAGTCAAGCCAAGAACTGAATGATATTGTGTACTATGGACTGAATGTGCACCCCAAATTCATGTTATAGTCCTGGGCTCCAATGCACTGGTGTTAGTTGGAGTTAGACTAGGTCAAACTGACAACCTTATCAAAAGAGGAGCCTTGAGAGTTGATTATGTGCCATGTGAGGACACAGCAAGGGCAGCCTTCACTAGCTACTGAATTTTCTGGTATATCAATCTTAGACATCTCAGCCTCTGGAACTATGAGAAGTAAATGCTTGAGCCACCCAGTCTGTGTCATTTTATTATAGTAACTCATATCAACTATGACCCAAAAGTAGGAAATTCTGGCCCCTTGATCAATTAAAGTAATTTCTGTGACATGGTTTTAGTCTCCAGACTCTTCCCAGGTATCAAGGCAATGTCCCTCTCTCCTGCTTCATTCTCTCACTAACAATGTCCATCAGTCTTAGAGGGGTGCCCACCAAGGTCTTCCTTCTGATCCCCAGTGATTCATATTCATGTGGGAAAAAAATCTACATCTTTCTGGAGTCTTCAAGTCTCATCTCAGAGCTGCAGCTCCCAGTCCAGAAGCTCCTCATGGAAATGTTTTCGATGACTGAGACACCTCAGGCGTGACTCCCCAGGCACCTCATTCCTTCCCATTTGTAGACCTGTAAAACAAAATCAATACACCCCTCAATGTGCCATAGCAGGACAGGCAGACGCTCACCTCTGCACACACTGGCAGGTGCTGCTGGTGTAGCAAGTCCAGTGGCCAGAAGATCCTTGATTAGGCAAAGCTTACTCCTGCCAGGAAAGAATTCTCCAACATTCTTGAATCTACCCTCTGGATTTTTTTATTCTTCCTTGTTGAGCCCTAGGTCTCTTCTTTTTGTCAGGAAAAAGCATCTGTTTTCAGCCTACATTCTACAGGAATTTTGGAAGTCCAATATTCATTTTGTACTGATTCTGTCTTTGCCAGTCCAAATTGCTGGTGTTGTTTCCCAACGAACACCAAACAAAAAAAAGGGTATGTATGTGAAAGGTTTGTAGTATGTATGTCTATGTAAGAGAGAGAGAGAGAGAGACAGAGACAGAGAGAGAGAGGATAGGAGGGAAGAGAGAGAGAAAGAGAGAGAGATAGTGGATTTCCTCGATGCTACTCCATTCAGTGAGCACTACAAAGCTCTTTAAGATAAGCCTTTCACTGTCTTGAGCTTAGAACAAAGATACTCTTAAGCCTTCCAGGGGTTTGAGTACTTAATTCATAGAATCAGAAAGGAACACCTTTATTCTTCTCAAATAGACCTTTGAGTGACTGAATATACGTCTGATATTTTGTTCCGGTTCACATACACAAAATCAGATAACCAAGACAGGTCACAATTAGCAGTCACCACCCATGGTGACCTGAAAAGCTGTTTCCACCTATTATTCTTTGTCTCTGTTGTTTGGTTCTTCTCAAGCAATTATTTTCCCATATGAACTTTGAAATCACTTCGGCTAGGAACTAGGAACCCCTTTAGCTGGCTTAGCCAGCTTCACATACAACATTATTAAGCTGCAATGATTTCTATGCATGCAGTGTCTCTCAATTTATTCAATTTTCATGCCTGCTACAAGGTTAATTCTTGCCTTTCATGTTAAATTTATTTCCTGTTTAGTTGCTATGTAATGAAATTTTTTTTTTTTCCATTTCCATTTCTGATATTTTGTTTGGTTTGGTTTTGCTTTGTTTGAGATAAGGTCTTATATGTAGCCCAGGCTGGCCTGGAACTCACTGTTCTAGCCCTGGCTGGCCTTGAACTCATGGCAATCTTACTCGTTCGGCCTCCCAATTTCTGGTATTAAAGGCAGGAGGCATCTTTCCCAGCTTTCCTTTCTGTTTTCTATGGACAGAATTTATGTAACAATTTAACGACATTGTTTTCTTTCCTTCTGTTATTTGTTTGTTTGTTTGTTTAGAGATCGGCTCTCACTATGTAGCCCTGGCTGGACTAGAACTCACTATGTAGACCAGGCTGGCCTCTAATTTACAAAGAGTATTGGGATTAAAGGTGTCTGCCACTATGCCCAACTCCTTTTTTAAGCAAAATTTTAAGATAATTTTTTGTTTCTTTCAAAATATCTTAGTTTTGCCTATTTTTAATATCTGAATTGATTCACGTTTTTGGAATTTCAAACTAAGTTTAGTTAAAGGTACAGATGGCATCTCTAACTTGAGAACAATTGATGAACTGCTGTGTCCCTTTTGTCTTCTTTTTCTGCTCTTCATTACTTGTTTCCTTATATTTTCTTAGCTTTACTTTCTAGCTCTGGGGCTAGTAACTTCCTACAGTGAATTTGATGTCATGTCCCTGAAATAGCCATCTTGTTGCTATTGTTTGAGAAAGGGCCTCATATAGCTGATGCTGACTTCATTGAACTCATGATCCTCCAGCCTTTACCTCCTGGGTTCTGGGATTACAGCTGTGGGCCACCATGCCCAGTGAAGTATCCTTTTTCATCTCTAGTAATGCTTTCTCCCTTAAGGCCACTCTAGTTGGCCTTAATATAGCAGTATCAGCTTTCTTTCCACTAGAGTTTCTGTGGGGTGCTTCTACATTTCACTTGTAACATTTCTGTTCTCATAAACAGATATATGATTGGATAAACAGGATATAAACAGGATATATGATTGGATTTTTACATAGGCTTCCAATTTCAGTAGGTCACTTGATAAATCCAAGCCATTAACATTTAATGTATATGTTCCTTAATCTATTCTATAGTATCATGGTGGTATTTCCCCTCTATTTCTGCCTCTGATTTTACCATTTTTCTCCTTTTCTTATTTTATAAACTAATCAAAACTTCAATATTTTCTATTATTTCTTTTTTTTTTTTTTTTTTGGTCTTTTTGAGACAGGGTTTCTCTGTAGCCCCAGCTGGCCTGGATTCACTATGGAGACCAAGCTGGCCTTGAACTCCCAGAGATCTGCCTACCTCTCCATCCTGAGTGCTGGGATTAAAGGCATGCGCCACCACACCCAGCCTCTATTATTTCTTTTTTAAAACTTATTTTTATTATTTTTAATTATGTGTACTTGTATGCCTGTGTAGGGGTACCGGCACATGAGTTCAGGTGCCTTCAGAGGTCACACATTGAATCTCCTGGAGCTGGGGTTACAGGCAGATATGAGCCATCTCATGTGGATGCTGAGAACTGAACTCAGGTCCTCTGTAAGAGTGATATGCACTGAACCACTAAGCCGTCATTCCAGCCCCCCCCACTTTTTTTGTCTTTTTGAGACAGGGTCTCCCTGTAGTCCCAGCTGTCCTGGAACTCACTATGTAGACCAGGCTGGCCTTGAACTCAGAGATCTGCCTGCCTCTGCCTCCCAAGTGCTGGGACTACAGGCATGTGCCACCATGCCTGGCTCCAGCCCCTTTTTATTATTTCTGTGTAGCAACTTTTCTGTTACACATTCTTTCATCTTTCCTAGTGGCTACCTTAGTGATTATGTGTCCTTGACTTATAGTTTAACACTAATGTGTGGGGCTTTTTTCCCACAAATTTCTTGAAGATGCTACAACCGTAACACACATCAACAGTTCCTTCTTCCGCCTTCTGTGCCATGGTTGTTTGCATTTACTACTACATATTTTGAACTCTGCAAAATACACTATTAGTAGTTCCCCCCATTCATTATTTATTACATGCAATAGCTGGAGTTACAGGTGGTTGTGAGCTGCCTGATGTGGGTGCTGGGAACCGAACTCCAGTCCTCTTAAAGAGCAGTGCATAATCTTAACCACCGAGTCATCTCTCTAACCCAAGTCTTCCTTCCTTATTCTTCATTTGGGAAATATTTTGCATGATAGCCTAAGACTGAACAAGTTATAGTATTTCAGCATTGGGATTTTGTTCATGCATCAGCATGGTGTTAAAATTCCTGCATACTCTATTCACTTGGCATCCAGCTTCCTAAACATCCTGCTAGATGAAGTGTACCAGACTTTCACGTTTCACACTCTAGGAGCTCTGGGAATCTTGCCTTGGGAGGCAGAATCAAGGAGAACTTTCTGTTGCTCATAACTTCCAGCCCTGTTTTGAGCAGCTATGTAGAGGAAAACTCAAGCAAAATCAGTTACTACTGTCTGTGGGGCTACAAAGATTCAAGATGATACTTAAGTCTTCAAGATATTTCTTAATTTTTATTTAATTATCTATTCATTTATTTATATTTTATGTGTATGAGTGTTTTGCCTGCCTGTAAGTGTATCCATGTGTGCACTGCCCACAGAAGTCAAAAGAGGTCTCCCTGGACCTGGAGTTATATTAGCTGCCATGTGGGTACTGAAAACCGAGCCTGGATCCTCTGCAAGAACAGCCAGTGCTCTTAACCACTGAGCCTTTTCTCCAGCTCCAGTTCAAAACGTTTCTTTTTTAAAAAATATTTTTATTTTATGTATATGAGTGTATTGCCCACATGTATGTGAGTGCACCCATGTCATGCAATACCACAGAGGTCAGAACAGGGCTTCAGATTCCCCTGGAACTGGAGTTAAGGACAGTTCGTAGCCACCATGTGGGTGCTGGGAATCGAACCCGGATCCTCTGCAAGAGCAGTCAGTGCTCTTAACTGCTGAGCCATCTCTCCAGCCCCCAAAACGTTTCTTAAACTGTCTCTGTTTCATAGTTTGAGTCTATTCTCTGTTCTGCGTGTCTTTTTCTATACCTATCTTATTGTGTTTTGCCCCATTTTTTCCCATGTTTCTGTTAAGTCACAACCTAGCATCTACTTCTAAAGTCCTAAGTATAAACTTATGTATCCCTTTAGTATTTTATAATTTTTTCCCTTTATAGAAGTAAAACTATATGATCATTGAGTCAAGAGAGTTACTTTCTTATGTCATCCAGACCAAGCTACAGCCATGTCACCACTTCTGTTTACAGATGAGGAGATGGAGTCGTTCCTTCTGGATGACTTTAACAAACTGATACAGAACAAGGCCATAGAGAGAGTCATCACACCAATGACTGTCCAGCTTTGCCATCTGCTTATCTCAATGGAGAGGAAAGAGGTGAAAAATGAATCACTCGCCTCTTTGCAGATGGTAGCAGAGGAACTGGCCAGTGCTAGTGAGGAGTTCATACAAGCTGCCCACAGGTAATGCCTCAAGGAACTCAAGCTGTTATCCTGACACACTGGTAGAGGGTGGAGCATGTAACTAGAAGCTGATGCTTAAGTGCATTTGCCAGCTGGGGATGCAGCTCAGATGACAGAGTGCTTTCCTAGCATGCATGAAGTCCTGGGCTTGATCCCTAACACCATGTAAGCTGAGTGTGGTGGTACTCACTTGTAATCCCAGCATTCAGGAGGTAGAGGTTGGAGGAGCATACATTTTTATTTTATGTGTATGCATGGATTGCCTGCATGTATGTAAGTGCACCTGTGTCATGCAATGCCTATGGAGAAGAGGCTGTCAGATTCCCTGGAACTGGAGTTACGGACAGTTGTTAGCTGCCATGTGTGCTGGGATTTGAACCCAGGTCCTCTGCAAGAACAACCAGTGTTCTTAACCACTGAGCCATCTCTCCAGCCCCAGGAGCATAAATTTAAGGTTGTCCTGGGCTACATAGTAAATTCAAGTTCCTATCTCAAAAAAGAAATGTTTTCAGAAAGAAGCCCTGTGTAAAAAAAAAAAAAAAATGACATAAGACTATACGAACTGGGGGTGGTGGCACATGCCTTTAATCCCAGCAATCAGGAAGGAGGCAGAGGCTAGCCTAGTCTACATAGTGAGTTCCAGGCCTGCTGGGGCCACAGAGAGAATCTATCTCAAGGAACCCAAGTTAGGTCTGGGAGCTGCGAAGCAGACGGGTAATGCTAGATTGGGGCACTCACAGATCTGGTGAAATTCACAGGTCTGGCAGGTGCACCAAAACTTTTAACTAGCTTACCGTGACAATATGAGTCAAGTATAGGAAAAGACAGAACAATTGGTTTTTAAAAATTTATTATTTTTTTATGTGTATGAGTGTATTGCCTACATGTATGTAAGTGCACCCATGTTGTGCAGTACCCGTGGAGGACAGAAGGCATCAGATTCCCTGAAACTGGAGTTACTGACTGTTGTTAGCCAACATGTGGTGCTGGGATTCAAACCCTGATCCTCTGCAAGAGTAGCCAGTGCTCTTAACCAGTGAGCCATCTTTTTAGCTCTGACAATGCATTTTTGAATACAAAAAAAAGTACACTAGATTTTCAGAGAAGTGAAACATTGTCTGCCTTTGTTGTATTGTCTGTTCTGGGCAAGATAAATTATTTATACAGAGAATTATCAGAATTCATGACTGTGGAAAACAGTCCAACCTTCTATCAGAGCAGCACTGTGGTAATTCACATTGGACTTGGGTTTGGCTCCACTGACTTTCACATCAGTTCCCTGAGCAGTCAGAGGCAGTGGCCAAATGGAGGCAATCAGCAAGGCGCCTAAGTGTTGAGCTTGCAAGTTCCTGCCTCTGCTGGGCAAGTTCCCTGGAGGTCAGAACCTACCATCAACTGAGGTCAGTGAATGCCAGCGGGATGGAGCTGAAGGCAGGACTCTGTGAACAGAGTCAGCCCTAGCATATGTTTCCTACTGCTTAAAAACATGATGAACATTTAGAAACTATGAATGAGCTGAAGAAAGAAAAAATATCACCTATAAACCCCCAATCTAGAGATGGCCACTCTGAATATTTTAGTATGTATTTATCCTGAATAGTTTTATTTTTCCTTCTACTCTTTATATCCTCTTTTTGCTTTTTTTTTCCTCAAATTTTCCATTTTTCCTTTTTTCAAAACACAGACTAGAGAGATGGCTCAGCAATTAAGAGCACTGGCTGCTGTTGCAGAGGACCCAGGTTCGATTCTCAGCACCCACATGGCAGCTACAACTGTCTGTAATTCCAGTGCCAGGGGATCTGATGCCCTCTTCTGACCTCCTTGGGCAGTGTATGACACAGGTTCACTTACATACATGCAGGCAATGCGCTCATATACATAAAATAAAAATAACAAATAAAGTATTTTAAAAACACCTATAAAAATATCTCTATAGGACAAATGGATGAGAAAAATGTGGCACATAAACACTCTTAACCAGTGAGCCATCTTTTTAGCTCTGACAATGCATTTTTGAATACAAAAAAAGTACACTAGATTTTCAGAGAAGTGAAACATTGTCTGCCTTTGTTGTATTGTCTGTTCTGGGCAAGATAAATTATTTATACAGAGAATTATCAGAATTCATGACTGTGGAAAACAGTCCAACCTTCTATCAGAGCAGCACTGTGGTAATTCACATTGGACTTGGGTTTGGCTCCACTGACTTTCACATCAGTTCCCTGAGCAGTCAGAGGCAGTGGCCAAATGGAGGCAATCAGCAAGGCGCCTAAGTGTTGAGCTTGCAAGTTCCTGCCTCTGCTGGGCAAGTTCCCTGGAGGTCAGAACCTACCATCAACTGAGGTCAGTGAATGCCAGCGGGATGGAGCTGAAGGCAGGACTCTGTGAACAGAGTCAGCCCTAGCATATGTTTCCTACTGCTTAAAAACATGATGAACATTTAGAAACTATGAATGAGCTGAAGAAAGAAAAAATATCACCTATAAACCCCCAATCTAGAGATGGCCACTCTGAATATTTTAGTATGTATTTATCCTGAATAGTTTTATTTTTCCTTCTACTCTTTATATCCTCTTTTTGCTTTTTTTTTCCTCAAATTTTCCATTTTTCCTTTTTTCAAAACACAGACTAGAGAGATGGCTCAGCAATTAAGAGCACTGGCTGCTGTTGCAGAGGACCCAGGTTCGATTCTCAGCACCCACATGGCAGCTACAACTGTCTGTAATTCCAGTGCCAGGGGATCTGATGCCCTCTTCTGACCTCCTTGGGCAGTGTATGACACAGGTTCACTTACATACATGCAGGCAATGCGCTCATATACATAAAATAAAAATAACAAATAAAGTATTTTAAAAACACCTATAAAAATATCTCTATAGGACAAATGGATGAGAAAAATGTGGCACATAAACAGATATACAATAGGATGGGATTTTATTCAGCCATTAAGAAAAATAAATCATGGCACTTGCATAGACAAGTTCATCCTCAAATGAAAGAGTTTGGTAAATGACACCGATGATCAAAACTTGCATCCCATTTTGTAGAAGGCTCATCTGAACTGCCAGGATCAGTGTGGAGAAGCCTGGAATATGCTTGGCCCATTCAATGATAGCCACCAACTCTTGGGATAATTAAAGTTTAAAAAGCTATTCCAAGTTTAGATGAAGATATGCAGGAACTGGAACTGTCACGTTGCTGATGAGAACGCAGTATGTTGTGACTACTTTGGAAAATATTTTGGCAATTCCTATAGACATTAAATGCATACCTATTGTTACTACGTATTTATCAAGATAAATGGAAACATATGTTTATGTAAAACCTAATATAAATATTCACAGGGTTTTCTTTCTTTTTTCAGTATAGGTATTAAACCCAGAACCTGGAACCCACTAGGCAAATGCTCTACTACTGAGCTCTATCACCAGCCATTTAAAATATATTTTTTTAAATCTTGAGATGGGTCTCCCTAAGTTGCCTAGGCTGACCTCAAAATCACTGTGTAATCCAGGCATGCCTTGAACTTGTGACACTCCAGCCTCTGCTTCTCATAGTTGTGATTAAAGTATACAGCATCCTAGCACAGTTCTTTTTTTCTATTAGCTAAGGAGATTTTGGCTCAGATTTCTTACCTGACACTTTAGAGGCCAGAAGATGCTGGAATCAACTGTATACAGGCTATTGAGAGGAAAGGCCTGAGACTCAGAATTCTCTATCTAGACGACTGTCATTAACCTCTTTAAGCGGACAGTGTGAAGTCTATAAACACAGATCTGAAAGGAATTAGTTGAAAATATCACCCCATCTAAGAATAATATTGAGGAACAACTCTAAATCACAAACCCAAGACACCTGAAGACGAAAAGAAATGGTTTTGTAACAGAAAACAGTGTCTTAGAGAGGCACCTACAGTGATGAACATTGGCCTGCATCTCCATTTTAAGGCTGCTTAGTGCTCTGTAATTCCTGTGAATCATAATTTCCTTATGGTTGCACTTTTTCTAATATCACATGTTGTAAGTGCAATGTATTTGTCCAGGTTGGCTGGAGACTCTGAGGAGGAGTGGCTCAGGCAGGAAATGAAGCCTGTGGTGGAGTCCCTGATCCTTTCTGGAAGGAACGTCACACTGGTAGCCCAGAGGCTCCACCTGCAGCCAGAATATCAGTGCCACCGGAAGGAGCTGGTAACCATCACTCAGCAGTTCCTCCTGGACACCACAAAGGTCAGGCTCTTTCAGAGCTGGCTGGTTGCTTGGTCATTGCTGGAGGGCAACGGATGGGCATGTTCCCACTGTAGCCACCTGCCCCTGACTTTGAAGCCCACCCAAGTGCCTGCAAAGGTCACAAACACAGAGGTCATTACCAATTTAATCCACGGGCTAAATACGAAAGCTGCTGCAGGGAGCTGGTTTAACCCTTTGGTTCCCAAATGCTCTCTACTTTCCATCATGACTCACATTCCCTGTTATGGCACAAATTTTAGAAAGATTGGGACACTGCTCCAAGCTCAAATCCATATGCCTTATTTTGTTGTCATTAAAACTTCGGGAGTGTGGGTTATTAACAGGTATTTCCACAGGCTCTAATAAAGGAGGGTTGCAAATGGGGAGAGGGCACAACCAGAGGGGTTTGGGCACAAGCTGATGGTGAAGGAACGGGACAGAAAGCAGGCTCTAGGCTTGGGTACCAGCCTTAGGGAAGCTTCCAGAATAGGTGAGCCCTTCAGCCCTTCATCTTCATCTAAATAACACCCCCTCCTTCAACAGTCCAGGTTAGACTCCACACTGACTGCGGGGCTAAGACAGCTACTTCTGACCTCTCGGGTACAAAGAAATACTCCCCACCTGCAACCTCCCAAAAATGGAGGATGGATTCTCAGGTCACCTGAGACTGATGCTTGTATTTGGTTGCAACGGCTTATATTTGGTACAACGGCTCTAAAAATGTTCCGTTATCGTTAAGTCTCTTTCCCCTCGATTGCCCCTTCAGGTCCTGCTCCTCGAAGACGCAGAGATGGCGAGGCAGGCAGAGCCAGCGGCCAGTTGGTGTATGGCCTGCCTGGACGCGCTGGAGGCTGCAAGAGGAAGCGGCCTCGCTGCGCCTCTCGTTCGCAGACCTAGGGGCCGCGCTGCTGCACCTGGAAGGCCTGACCCGGCGCTGGGACTAGCGCCTGGTCGCGCCCGCCAGCTGCTGGGGCGCTGCGTCCCCGCGCTGCTCGCCGCCGCCAGCGGCCACCTCCGGCATCCGAGCTACCCGCAGCTGGCTTCCTCCAGGCGCCGCATCTTCGCTCTGACCAGGAAGAGCCTGGGCAAGCTCCTGGCGCAGCTGCAGCCCGGCGCCGCGGTGCCAGCTGCGCGCTCTCGGAACGGCGTCTTGGCACGTCTCCTGCGACAGCTGCTGGCGGCACCCGGGCCCGCCCCACTGCGCCGAGGCTTGCTGGACGAGCGGCTGGCTGCCGTGGTGTGGCTCTGCCTGCGCCTAGCCGCCGGCTCCGCGCCCCCGGAGAGGATGCACCTAGTGTCCCGCTGCCACCGGCTGCTGGAGCTCCGACCCGGGATCGACCGGCCTCCAGGGACCAGCCAGGGGACGGCACGCGAAGCGCTGCGAGCAGCTACCGATGCCCTTCATCAGGGGGTCTGCGACGGGCTACTGCGCCAGATTCTGGACACGTTCACAGACACTCACTGTCCTCTTGAGATCCTGGTCCAGGCTGCATTGGCGACTTCCATGGTCAGGACCCCGCACGATAGTGAAGCCCTGGCGAAGAGCCTCCAGCTTCACCTTGATGCTTTCCATGACCAAGCTAGGCAGATGGTCCATGTGGCACACTTGGTGGTGTTTTGCTGCTCCCAACAACAAACTGGCAGAGACGTGGAAGCTGCTGTGGCAGGTGTTCGGAATCTTGAGTCAAAGCAAAAGAGCTTTTCTCACAAATTCCCCAAAGGTGTAGCCTGGACTGGAGCCCTGCCACCCTGCAGGCCCTGCTTGAGGCCTGAGCAAGGGAATCTCAACATTTGTTGGCATGCTTTGATGAAGTTCTCAATATTCCTGAATTACTGAGTGTGTCCATTCAGGAAATGACCAAGCACCTGAACTTCTACACATGGGCTCTGAGGAGTGGAGAGTCCAGAGAGTTTCCCAGACCCCTGGCATACCACCAGGAGCGAGCCACACACATAGTGCAGGTAGTGAACAGGTATGTGGATCAAGACTGAGATCCCATTTTCCAGAATGGCCTGAGAGTCTTGGTCCAGCAGCTAGTTCAGTCTTCCTTGACCCTTGGAGTGGCCACTGAACCCAGCACAGGTGGGGACAGCTCTCAGGACACAGATGCCTTTTTAACCATGGCAAAACATCTCATCTATTCAGCTCAGCAAGTCCAAGAGGGGCTGGATGGGACCAACCACCCGGATATCCTCAGTCCCCTTCGAGGCCAAGTCCAAAGGTTTGACACTATTAAGGGATGGCCTTATTTCATTCTCCCCAGCCTCCAGCATCCCATGGCTCCTAAAATGAAATACCAGGGGGTGCCTAGCTTAGGGGAAAGTGACCCAAGCACGTCTTTCCTATCAGCAGAATAACTTTCCCACCCAGTGATTCCTGACACTTGCATAGAGGAGAGAGACACTCCATTCCTTGTCACCAGGGAAGCCATCCTTACAGTGGAGACCCAGGACCACCAGGTATTAACTTCACCATGCACCAACATGTCAGGGCAGGATGCAACTGTGGATGCAGCTCAAGAGACCCTGGATGGGGAGGAACTACTGGGGCCAGAGAGGATGACAGGATTGCAAGAACTCTCAACACTGGCACCTTCCATTGTTGACCAAGCCCTGGAGAAAGTCTGCAGCACAAATGCTAGAAGTGACAGGCTTCTGGAAGTGGCTTTCCAGCTCTCTGAGAGAACCAGGGACAAGAGACGGGGTTTGGTGGCCAGGGCTGGTGACTGATGCCCTTTGTGTCAACAACTGTTTTTCCATAATCCAACAACTGACCTATCAGAGAACATGGCCGTGTTCATGGAGGTTCAGTAGAATTTGGCCTCGATGGTTCAACTAGCAGCTAAAAGAGGCCCTATGAATTTGAATGAGAGGGATCCTGACTCAATAGGGGACTCTGGAGTGCTTTTACAGATGCAAGGGAGACTGGGAGAGGCAGAGGTCCATGCTAAGGAGCTGTTGGACAAGATTCTGTCTTCTGATGGTCTCCAAGCCTCCAAGTGGCAGGAAGAGACTATTGATGCTGGGTGCCTCCTATGGTCAGTAGCTGTTCAAGACTTGATCCAGTACATGGAAAGGCTCAGCAGGAGACAAGGCCTATTCTTACTGCCTTTCCCGCAGGCTATGAAAGACCAACAAGAGTTGCAGGAAGGGTTAGATCGGGTAGTAGATGTTTCTCAAAGGCTAAAAGAGGCCGCCAGGCTGTCTAGTCTTCTGTGTGGTGATGAGCAGGTAAAGGGTGAGGTTGCTTTTCTGTGTGGGGAATTTCATGTACTCAGAGATGCACTGCTAGAGGTAGTACACATCTTGGTCTCCTCCCCCAAACCTTCTCCCAGCTTCTCCACACGCTTTGAACTTCTCTGCTTGGAGCTCACCCTTCGCGCCAAGACCCTGACTGGCCACCTGAGCAGCATCAATGCAGACTATGAACGTGCCTTTCAGGATGCTGTCTGTCCAGTACTCTCTGTCTCCAAGAACTCCCAGATCAGGACAGAGAGCCTTCTGGAAAACATGGTGTCTGTCATCCAAGCTGTACAGGGAAACATAGCAGAAAGTCAAGGGTCTGGGCCCTGCCAGGAAGACATTCTTGTATCTCTAGAGAGCATTCTTGTGCTCACTAAGGAGGTGGCCCAGAGGGTCTCTTTGCTCAGGGAACACCAAGAGGAGTGGAGACTGCACATGCTGGACTGGCTTTGGTGGGAATGGGCAGCCAAGGCCCACCATGTGGTGACTTAGCTCCAGGCCTGGCAAGGTGGTCACACAAAGGCCTGGAGACTCTTGGCGGAGTGCTTGAAACCCAGGGAGGAGCTATCAAGAGTCCCAGAACAGGACCCTGTCCAGCTTCAACTCCACTGTAAGGAAGGTACAGCAGGAACTGCTGGAGGGGACAGTTGTTGGGAGACCTCTGTTATGCAAAAGTCGAAGCCCCTTCACACCGGACAGCTCATGCAGCTTGGGGAATGTGCCGCGGGCTCCTTTTCATAGCAAGGTGCTTTCTGGCATCTTTCCTGTCTCTCCCTTTGAAGTGGCTGCCACAGATGCCTTGACATAAACATGGCCTTTGGCTCTATGCATACCTTGCCTTCCTGTGTGTGGTTTTTACAGGTAGACAATAGTCTAGCAGAAACCCACTTCCACATGTAAATAGAATATCTCACAAAGTATCTAAAAGCTTTTACCACTACCCCCATGGTATATAAATATGCTAGTCTTCTCTTAATAGTCAGAGATCAGGTCAGAGACTGGGACCCGGAGATCAGGTCAGAGACTGGGTCCCAGAAAGCTGGATCAGCAGAGAGCTGGACAGCAAGGAGCAGAGATACAATAAAGC